AACGCAGTCCCAAGAGCGCGGCTGTGTGTAGTTAAGCCAGAGAGCCGTACCGAAGCCCCGACGCGTTATTTCGCCCACTTGTTTGTTGTTCAAAATAATTGAACGAAAAAAAATTGCAACGATAGACGTCACATACTAAAGTGTGGCGGTCGGTCGATGACACTATCGATTACACAAAATATATACTCGCATTGCATCTACAGCTTCCGTCAACACGCAAATTAAACAAATTTGTTAATTTATTTGTCATGCTGTGCGTAATTTACGATAAATGCCATAATTTGTATATTAGATTCTTGTTTCTTACAGCCCAGCGAGAAGCTGGCAGCGCTGTTACACGCCTTCACTAGTTTAGTATATTTCCAATTTAACTATATTTTAGCATTGAAATATGAGCGAAATAAATAGTTTTTGCTTGCCATATATTGCATTTAGATCAGACTGTTAACTTATATATCAAATTAGCATTTACAGTTTTGGTAACTATCGGCCATCGAAAAGCTGGCAGCTCTGCCGCGCGCTTTCAAAAGCGCTTCGCCTGGGTGGCAGCCTAGCATTATAACTGTTTTCAGTACGCATGTATGTTTGGTGAAGAAAAGTAATGTTAAAGCGCGAATTGCAAAGTATTAAGCTGAAGCTGTCCGATTTGGAGGAGTACGAGGCTGTGCGTAGGCGCAACAAGATTAAAGCCGCCATTGAAGCGGGCAGGTCATCATCAGTGACGGCAACGGCCACCGAAACGGCCCCATCGACTGCCAGCGACTCGACATCCGAGACGCCAGTGACTCAACGTCAGATGGAGGACCTGCCCGCCGCTGTTGGTTGGTCAACAGCTGTGATTGTCAGCAGCAACACCAATTCCGGTTCCACCGAAGACGACACCAGTGTGGCGGCTGTGGCCGATGACAACGACACCATCGCCGAGCTCAGCGACGATGGCTGGGTGGACATTGACGAGGAGGATGGCGCTCGTGGAGGGGAACCATAGTTTACAGCTCCCATCAGCTATAGTCGCACATTTTTACGTATATTCCAATGCTGCTTCATATGTTGCATGATCATTTTTGTCCGAAAAACTCAACAGAAAACAAATAAACCGAATTTATACAAATTTCACAGATTATATGTACACATATGTATGTGTGTGTATGCATATATATATGTGTGCATTTGTGTGTATGTCCGTGTGCATGTCTATGTGTTTGTGTCTGTGCTCTTATTCTAGGGGATGGTCACAGATCCTGTAACGGCATATGCCTGAAAGCTTTCAATGACGCTGCGTGAGCTTTCGTTGTGCGCGTTTCACAATGCAATTCAAACTTAGAAGCTCTCCTCTGGCGGCGCTGCATTTGAATAGCGAAAGCTGTCTGCCTCTTCGTCTTCGCTTCGTCTCTTCGGCCCAAATAACAACGAAAATAACGGCCACTGAATCCTCAGGTGGCCGTTGCGCAAATGCCACACGGTTACTGCGGCACTGTCAGTCGCTGTGCGCGCCTGTCTGTCCGCATCCGCATCCGCATCCGCTCGTGGCAACAACCACAAAACAGTCGTCATTTCCAATTGGCCGGCTGATACGCCGGCAGCACCAAATACGACCGGTTCCGGCTGCGACTTACAACTCCGGCTCCGAATACGTTTACAACTCCGGCTCTGAGTTTTGACGCTGGCTCGAGCGCGTTCATGTGCGTGCGTGACAAAATTGCGTTAAACGGAGTTAATTGTTTGTTGTTATCCATATTAGCGCGAGCCTTCAAATTAATTACGTGAACAAATTGCTTTTTGCTTCGCTCTGCCTGTGCGCCGCATCACGACGCGCCGCGTCATCGTATCCGTGGTGTCCGTGACCTGCAGTCGAAAAGATCGACCCACGTGCTAGCCTGCCGTCACGTGGTCCCCCACCCCACAGACCCACAGACCCCCGGCACCTTCAACGGCAGCCCTAAGGTGAGCTTACGTGACGTACAAAGACAGAGAAACTGACAAACGTTCAAACGGAACATGCAAATGGCGGCGCTGCATCGATATAACCACCTGTCACACACACACAAACACGCAAGCACACACACACACACACACACACACACACAAAGATTGACTGGCACGGGACTCGGCACGTGTAGCGCACAGCGGAAGTAAAAACAGAAGCCGTAGTACAGTGAAACTTCCTTTTAAAGTAATTTGTATTAATTGTAGATTGTTGCATACACTTAAAAAAAAAAAAAAATTGGTGTGCTTTTAAAAATCTCGCAAGCATTTCTATGAAACAAATTGCATGCTTAACAATTTGAACAGAAATTTAATTGATTTACATAAAAAATATAAATAATTGTTAGGCTTACAAACTATGACAAACTATTTAAAATAATATATATTATTTGGCATATAATTAAATTAAATTAATTTATTTTTTTATTTATTTAGTTTGTTAAATAAAATAAAAATTGAATATTCTCTATTAGTAATACAATAATTTTTTGAAGTGTATGCAATTGAATTTTAGCCAAAGAGTAGTGCATGGCGCGGGCTTCAAGGTTCTTCTCGCAGAGCTTTTGCTGCTTTCGTCTGGCCCGGCACCTTTCATTAGTTGCACATAATTAACTCAGCTCACTTGCCACAATTCCACTTGCACATGCAAAAAGGCCTCTCTCTCACACACACACACACACACACACACACACACATGCACACTCATGTACAGGCTGATGTTTATCCGAGCTGCTGCTGCTGCCGCAGGGCAGCCCTCAACAGGTGCGACAAGGTCTTCCCCCAGCGACCAGCATTATTAATGCTGCGCAATGGACAAGAGCATGTTAAATAGAAAGCGGCAACAATACAAACGACACCCCACCCCACCCCACCCCCCCCCCCCTGCCTGTCTCACCACTCTTTGGCTGTGAGTTTAGATGCCCCGCGCCGCACAGTGCCTGGCTGTGTTGGGCTTCCCATGAGTTTCTTAAAGCCGTTGCGCGCTTTTAGGCGGCACTGTGGCCAACTTTTGCTGTTATTGCACATGTAACTGTTTTGCTGCATACAAGAAAACAATAACAAAAACAAAAACAAAAACAATATGGCTGCACAATTTACAGTTACTAGCTGAGCTCGTATACGTCTATGTTTATGCACATGTATGTGTATTATCGATGTATTTGCACGTGGATGTGTATATGGCAACGTTTTGTCAGCTAATTTGCATGAATTTTATTTCAAGGCGCATTCTTCAATCCGCCCGCTGTAAGCGTGGCAGAAGGGGGGGGGGGGTGGTTGGAGTAAAGTTATTTTTCATGCTCGCTGCACACAGACATAACGGCGAATGACAATGACAACTGATTGACAACAACAACAACAACAACAACAGACGCAGAATGCGAACAAAAGAGAACAACAAATTGCATTAAAATCAAATCAATATTGAAATCACTTTAAATGCAATGCGAATTGTGTAAATGATAAATGATAAAATGATAAATGATATTTACATTGTATATGTGTATCTACAGCAACAACAATATCTTATTTATGTGGACAGCACTCTTTTAAAGGTTATGTTCGGCTTATGTCAGAAACAATTCGTGAGTGTGCCCAGCTTCTGTCGAAGCGTAGCTGCATTTAATTGGTCATTTTGGACTTTCTGAAAATTCGATCTCGATCTCACATTCAAGACTGTCTTAGCTGAGTTCACAAGCTTTGTTGATATGCTCAGGATGTAATGTCTTCAGCTACGGTAACTGCAAAAAGTCTACACTTTCTATATACCAGCTTAATTATCGAGAACTGTGTAAATATCGCTGAGCGCCTTAAGAACACTTTTGGTGATGACATACATTAATATTCGGTATGTGGAATAATATATTTGAAAAATGCTTTTTGGCTTAGCTAGAAATTCAACTAAATCGATCAAATCAAGCTAATCAAGCTATAACGGTTATAGTATATCAAATAAGTACTTAAATCTAGCCCAAATCTATCCTCAAGGCGGGCAGCTGGTTCGAACTTTGAACCGAACCAGCGATTTTTGCTTGGGACCTGCCACAAAAGTGTATAAAGTGTATACTACAAAAGGTCAAAAACAGATCAGAGCAGCGGAAGCGTAACTCACGTGTCCGGCCTCAGCTCTATTCGCGGCTTCACTGATTAAGTGAACCTCAGACCCCGGACAGAAATTTAAAAATAAAAAAAAATTAATATATGTCAAAATTGTTGTTATTGGAGCACGTGCTTTTCCACTAAGTTGTCGTGTAGTTTTTTTTTTCTGCTTCCGTATACCCTGTACACATAGCATACGTGCAAGAGGGTATACTGTTTGTATGCAAAAGCACTTAACTCTCACTTCATGTGTAGAAAATCTTGACCAGGTCGAATTCGGCTTAGGTATAAAACCAACGAAATATATAAACGCTCTTATATCATATTTTTGGCTCGATATTTAGTTAAAGTTTTCTAAAACCGATAAATATCGATTAGGCGAAATATACGACATTTCACACATTTGGATGTTTGTTGATGAAAGATGAGAGTTATTAAAGAGCAGGCACAACTGAGTGCAGGGTATTTCGAAGCAGACTTTTTTTTTTCGAAAATGAATCAATAAAACCCAATTTTCCATTTGGCTTATCTTATCGGAGTCGATCCTTTATGAGATCTACTGGCTACTGTGTCAAGACCAGAAATAAGACCTAAAACCAAAAACTTGTGCGATACGAACCAAATGTTCCATGGGCGATGGGCAGGTGGAGGGCGATACGGGAGCGGCACAGTTCCGTTTTGGGGACAAGTGAATGCACCTAACAAAAATCTGCAGACGCCCGAATATGGCCGTGAAAAGGTGTCGCTTATCAGGGATTGGGGTCTTTGGGCCAAGAGGCTGCGCATCTGGCGGCCATTGGCCCAGTGGCAGCTCGGAGAATGGAATTTCACGCACAGTTGTTGCATTTATTGGTTTTTTTTTTTTTGGTTGTTTTTGTCTTTTTTTTTTTAACATATATATCTGTGTATACCTTGTATTGGTTGATGCTACAAGTATTGACCTTAAATTTGAGTTGCCGTCCAAGTCGTTATCGCCGCCGTCCCCGGCTACACAATGAAAATTTCTAAATTCAGATACTTTTTTTTTTTGTTTTTTTCGGCTGGGTGTAATCTAGGTCTCGGTTATTATTGTTGTCTTTTGTCTGGAACAACACACAGAAATACCAACTGTGGCAACAGGAACACATCAAACAAATGGCTTTACCTATGTCGACGCTAAATCGCAAGCGGCCCGGTAAGCCGGGTCCGGGTCCGAGCAAGTGGAGCTTATAAATAGCACAAAATAAACGTAGTTGAAGAGGAATGAGGAGCAGCAGTAGGCGTTGGGCCAGGAGGAGGAGTAGTAGTAAAAAAGAGCAGACGCAGGCAACTAGTCAAATAGACGATCTGCCGATGCGTCCCGCTGAGCGGAGCGCAGAAGTACAGGAGCGCAGCGCGGTCAAACGATGTGCAGCTTACGGGCCAAACGGCACAGCTGGCTCCAAATGAAGGCGGGCAGGGTGCGCGGCTGGGGCGGCGGCGGCGGCGCCGGCTGGCATATCGCCTGCGCCGTCAGGATCAGGCGCCGCAATACGGGCAACCGCTGCAGGCTGCCGCCCAGCACATAACAGCCGTGCAGCAGCGAGATGAGCACCAGAAGCGTCTTTAGCAGCGACCACAGCGAGCGTCCGCGCAGCCGCAGCTGCCACACATCCTGGAATGCGTCGAGCAGGGATCGCTGCTGCGGCACACTGGCGCTGCCCACCAGCTGCACTGGCAACAATAGCGTCTCCTGGTTGGGAGCCTGCGTCTGCGTCTGCGTTTGTTTCTGTGTCTGCGTCTGTGTCTGTGTCTCGCTGTCGGCCTGCCCCTGAATCTGTTTGTGGGTCTGGGTCTGGGTCTGGGTCTGTGCATGTTGCCCCTGCGCTAGCTGTGACCGCAGCGTCTGTGTTTCGGCCTGCAATTGGGCACGTATCTGTGTCTGGGTACCGATGCTCCGTTGCAGCAACTGTGCATCCAGGCTGATCATCAGCTTGTCGCAGCGCGTGCAATGGAATGCGATCTCCGCATGCTCCAGCACCTCATAGAAGCCAATCGGCGGCGTTTCATCCTCCAGCTGCGGCAGATTCTTGGCGCACAGCCATTCGAACAGCTTCGTTGGCTGGGTGGGCGCCGGCCCGTCCCCTATGGCCACCGCTGCCTTGGGCAGTTTGTCCATGATGCAGCACCAGTTGCTGCTGCTGCTGTCGCTGCTGCTGCCGGTGGGGTTAGCTCTATTCAGAGTGTTCGCTTCCATGATCACAATTCCAGCATGTGTTCTCTTGATTGTATATATATGTGTGTAGCTTTGGTGGGCGTGGGCTGCATCAAAATATATATATATATATATATATATATATAAGAAAAATATATATATATATATATATATACATATATATGTATATCAAATATTTTCACAATTCACTTATTCGACTTACGAACGGAACAATTTCACTACTCAATTTTCCAGTTTCTGAGCATTATTTCAATTGAGGCACGTTTCACGAAACGATCTCGATAACAAACAATTCAAACAAAGGCGACCCGTTTCAGCCTGAATGCGCTCCTGTGCGATTGAAATTTCGTTCCGCTCTATTTGCATTTACGGCTCGCAATCGTTATCGCAAACGTTATCGATATTGTGTTATCGCACTGCCCGCTTATCGAACGCTCCAGCTTCGATTGTTTACAGCAAATATGTTCAGCTCAAGTGGGCGTGGCATATTGATCAATATTGACTCCTCCTCGCCCAGCTACGCTTCCAACTGGAAGAATTGTCAAAGAAGTTACGAAATTTGTTCAGATATTACGTTAATTCTATATAAGCCTGTTTGGACAGTCGAGCAGTAAGAAGTTGTTTTCTAAACTCTGCTTAAATCATTTTTATATATGTATTTTTTTTTCTTCTAAATTTGTTCTCTTGAAATACGAATAATTTCTGGCATTCGCACTAGCGAGTGAGCACTGTATTCTAGTTGAAAATCAAGCATGATTTCGTATTCGTTTTCGACTAGGGTATTCTTCGTATAGCTCGCTGTAATGGATGTTTTACATGGGTATTCATTTGCGTTTGGAATTCGATGCGAACAACAAAATCAATTCGTGTTATCAAAACCTGTGCCGCTTATCAGCTCGCATTACGGCGACCGTTAATCGTATGACGGCAGCGCGAAGATCTCACGCGGGCGGTGGTCAGGGTCGGGGGCCGGGGACCGGGGACCCGATCACGAGTTGCGCACCCCCACAACGCCTCGCTACGGCTGCTATTGATAGGCACGGACTGATTAGCCGACCCTTGTTGATGTTGGCGATAAGGCGAATCGCATGGCCCTACCGACTGGCACATAGATCACAGATACCAAAGAAGTGGCAGGGAGCAATCCAATGATTAATCATGCTCGAAAAAGAAATAAAAAAACCATGCATTGTATTTTGAATACAGAATCAATTTCCCTAACACATTGGCCAGCTTTTAGATTCGTTTGCTCAACGAATTAGGCGGCCAGTGTGAACATCGCTCCAGTTATTCACAACTAAAGCACAGTGTTGCGAAAGTGCGCAAAATTCCATGAAACTTATCTATGTATTTCTATCTGGTCACATTACAATTTTGTTGTGGATTTCAACTGTTTACTGGTCCCACTGTGCCGCAGTCTTCTCCAGCAAATACATTTTTAAAGTTTCGTTTGTGTGTGTGTGTGTGTGTGTGTGTGTGTTTATTGGACAGCGCGATTGGCAACAAATTAAAGCAAAATGCTTGTTATCTGTAATATACACCGACGCCGTACATACTCTAAAGCAGTGCTATAAAGATTATGATATAAGCAGTGGACCATATATATTTATATCTTACATTGTTTAACTTTTTCAACTGCAGTTCTTTGGCCTTGACTGGCTTAGTAAATGCGTAGGAAGAAGTGAGCTTAAAAGTCTATTCATTATTCGGTATTTTTCCATTTCATTTTGGTATTTTTTCTTTTTAAATTTTATATAGTAGTAAAAGAAATAGTAAAAAGATAAATTCTTTAAAGAATTGCAGTAATTTTATCTAAACAAAAAAGGAAAACAACTAGTTTCGATTGTAGATGCCCTGATTATAGATACCCTGGAATACAGACTATTGCAAATTTAATAGATTATCGTCAGCTTTATTATGTTGCCAACTACGGCAAAAGGTTGTAAAATTCAGCCAGGGAGAGAAGGAGAGATAGAGAGAGAGAGGGGGAGGGCGGGAGGGGGAACAAAATGGAGAGCAGCAATATATAGTTAGTTATCACATTTATAACAATTGTCATTTACTAAGCTCATACTATACATATAAAATTGTTCAACAAAAAATATGTTAATTAAAATTTAACACAGATTAATGCGCGCTCTCTCTCTCTCTCTTACATACTCTCTGGCGCACTGATAAGAAAGCACACAGAGAGCGCGCGCACCGGAGAGCAGCAGAGCGCGAACGCAAACGCGAGCGAGCAGGCGCAAGAGTTGCCACTCATTTGTAGATTGGCTGCGGAGCGGCAGGCCGCAATTTATACGTTTTTTTTTTTGTTTTTTGCTTGACGATTTATTTGGCCGCGCACTGACAACGGCAACGGCTGTGCAGCACTCCAGAGCAGAGCACAAGATCCAACAAAATAAGAACTAAATAAAAAGAATATAATCATAAATAAAATAAAGCCCAGCTGGTCGAGCCGAAAGCCAAGCAAATACTCGCAATTACCGTTAAACACTCCGATAGTCGAGATCGAAATTCGAAATTCTCTGCGCTGTGCCTCAATCATAAATATATATCTATATATTTATAAATATATATATTTAACAGTTTGTTTTTGTTTTTGTTTTCAATTTCAATAACCGCCAATTTTCAAAGTTGACGCGCTTTCAGTTCCCAAACGGCAGCTCAGCGACGCGCATCGAGTGCAAAGTGTGAAGTGTTCATTGAAAAATTATTGAAATTCAAAAATCCAAAGGACACTACTACAACATAAAACAATCAAAGTGCAACTGAGCCAAGCGCAAGAAAAGGAAATTCCAAAACAAAATAAAACTTATATATAAAATATATTAAGGCGCTAACTGCAAGGCAGGATCAGGTAAGATGCATACATATATGCAATATTTGACTGATCGAATGCAAGGCATGCACTGACAATGTTGGGAAAATCTCGAATCAACCAAAAACGTGCAACTATTTTTAAATCTCTCTCAATTTCTAACACACAATATCACTAAAAATATACAACATTCAATATCTACATATACGAGCGGGAGTGCCAAGCAGAGAGAATCGTTCGGTGTGGGTGTGATTGTGGCTGTGATTGGGATTGTGGGTGTGAAAGGCGCCTCACTGTGACACAGTTAGTCCCATTTGGCAACAGGTGGCTGCCGCACTGAGTGCGGCGTAAACAAGGGTATTAATGCCTCCAAGGCGGACCGTGGCAATGAACTTGCCGGACGGCGATACGATCATGTCAAGAACAAAGCCAAACAGTTCAAATTCACAGAACATATACATATATCTTATCATAAGTGTAACGAATTGTATATTCAAGATTCGAGCATGGAGTGCAATTATATTATTGAATGCATTTTGATAACAAATATTATTAATTATATTTGTTTTGATTTTCTTTTACTTTTTTGGGCAGAATGTTTTTGTGCAGAGGATGTCTGTCTGTCGATCTCAGAACCTAGCGCCACCTTGTTTCCGATAATCGATAACTTGCTCCGTTTTCAGCGATCGATAAAAATCGATATCGTTAATCCTGTTAACGTCCTGCTGCTAGAATAGTATGCCATAGTATGTGTATTGGTAGAGTCGGCATTTAGCGTATCCTCTATTCGCGAATTTCCGACTAGAGACTCTTACTTGTTTAGTCTCAAGGCGGCTTATCTATGTATTATCTGACTGTAACTGCAAGTTCTAAACCTAAATTGCAGACAACTAAACTTCTTATCATTAAGTTTTCTTATTCTTATTATTATCATTATCATTATCATTACCATTATCATTATCATTATCACTGTCAATATCATTACCATTACCATTATCATTATCATTATCATTATCATTATCATAACCATTACCATTATCATTATCATTGTCATTATCATTACTAATATTATTATTATTGGTCCTCTAATAAAATCTCCTAAACACAATTTTATTGATATAAATAATATTCTCTGTTCCACAAGGGGCGTTTTTATAATTGGTATCCACTTAAAACACGCATCTGTAAATTGAATTTCGTCAAAACTCCAAATAATATCAATATCAATAACCTAACCTATCGAAATGCGGTTAATCAGAAGGGTTCAGGGGCTAGGAAAAGGATGTCACTGGGTCAAGTGGCAGGCCATTCCCGTGGTTCGGGTGGCTCGGCAGGATTGGCGGGGGTAGCGTGACGAGACGCGACACGAATCAAAGCCAAGGCCAAAGCAATTAAATTGTCTGACCGCACAATTCGAGTGCATTATTGTGACAGGCGTGTAAATTAATAGAATGCTAATTAATGCGCTATCTGTAATGAACAAAGTGCGAATCTGACTCTGATAGAGGCAGCTACGGAGCGAGAGAGAGAGAGAGAGCGAGCTAAAGACAAAGACGCAGCGCGTAAAGCCAAAAAAAAATAAATAAAAATTAAATTAAAAGTAAATGCAACTGCGACAGTTTTTATTATATTTCTGCCTGAAGGCTTGCAGCCTCATAAATGTCTTTCATTCATCTTGCTTTCACACACACACACACACACACACACACTGAGACAATCGCGTGCGCCTTTCCCATTTTCCATTTCCCATTCATGTCGAACAGCGTCAGAATGCTTTGCCACAAGGTGAGCGAATGGTTCCGTTGGAACCACGGAGTGGGTTGGCAAATGAACCAGCCAACTGAACTCTGAACTGAACGTGATTCATAGTGCAGCCCTCGTTATCGCAGTCTCTCTCTCTCTCTCTCTCTCTCTCTCTCTTTGGCATTTTGTTTATTTCGCGGGTTCAACGACTTGGCAACAACAACAACAATAGCTGCAACGCAAAAGCTGCCGAAACCACAGTAAAGTAAACAGCCTGGCAGCCCACTTGCCGACCTCGCCTCCCCCTCCCCTTCCCCTCCCCCACCCCTTCAAAGACCAACCCGCCGGCAAGCAGCTTGTTGGCGTTTGCCAAATTGCAATTTCCTTTGAAAATTTCCACTTTTGAGTCTGGGCCAAGGCTGGGGATAGGTCAGTATGCATTCCTCATGACGCATTCCTCACCCCTCCCTCCCCACCCGCACACACACACACACACACACACACACTCGCTGACGCCGCTTAGATAAAGCCCAAGCGTCGTTAACAGGCCAAGCGAAGCTGAAGCTGTTATCGGTCGCCGCCTGATAGGAGCCAGAGACTCGACTTTAGACCGAACCAATTCGTCTAAACAATAGCACTGAGTGAGTGCACCCCAGAATGGATGGAACCTATGCAAATGCAGGCTCAACATTTCACATTAAGACTTTCCGGATCTTTCTCGAAAATGGTTGAGAACACTTTTCATCACACAGCAAATAAGAGTTTTAATGCCAGGAACAGACGGAAACGAGCGCACGCACGCACGCATGCACGCACGCATGCACGCACGCACGCACGCATGCGCTTTCCTTTGCCCAGACTTAATCTGGAAAATACATTCTGGATTAACTTCGGTGCTTACAGTCCGATTTTGATGAAATTTTTGGAGCATACAAATGCTATAGAAAAATGTATAAATGCGAAAGTCCAAGGCTTTAGCTGTAAAATTGAGGCAACGGAGTAGGTACTCTAAGTCTGTATATCCCAAGTTTGATGTCTCTAGCTCTTATAAGCTCCGTCATAGCTCGTTATTTTCTATTGAAACAGCTTGACACACTATGCCTGAACACAACGGTTTTACTTGTTAGATGTATAGACTATGCAGTTAATAAGATTTTTATATAGACAACTGATTTGCTGCAGCTCTTATTGAATCTTCTTTTTTTGTCTGCCTTGAACAACTTTTTGGCTTATCACGATATCTTGGCTCGATATACTATATCCAATTGGTATATCGCCTATATAGCTTTTTAATGGTATTTAGTCTTGGTGTTAATTTTCTATCTCTTTGAATTCTTTCTTTTATTGAACATATTAAGTGGGCGTTGCACATGTCCACTCTTCCGCTCTGCCTCTCTCTCACTCTCGCTGTCTCATTTGCTCGCTTTTAATTAGCTTAACGCTGCGTATGCGCAATATTCTTTTCATCTTCTATCACAATTTTTGTATGTAATTTAACCGCACGAGATTAGGCGAATCATCCAGTTCTCTGGCACGTCCGACTGAAATTCATGGTCAAGACTTGTGATTTCATTTTCAACAGCAACAACAAATTGATGTCTCTCTGTGGGTGTGTGGGTGGTTGTGTGTGTGTGTGCTGCTTGTTGCCGAGCAGAGGTTCAGGTACCTCGTTCTAATTTAATTGTCCGTGATTACACAAAGCTCAGCGCCGCCGTGCGCTAACTTTTGGCGGTGAGTGTGAGGCGTGAACGGTGACTGTGACTGCGACTGCGACTGTGACTGGTGAGTCACACACACACACACACACTTGTTGCTGCTGTCGGAGACGCCCCTCAGCTGCCACAAGCCAAACCTAATCAAATTTTGCTGCGCTTGCTATTGTTAGGTGCAGCATATAAGACACATAGAAAATATGTATAGAACAGATATAGATATGTACATAAGCTGGCGCTTTTCTGTGACAACATGTGAGCATTCGCTGATAATCGGCGGATAGAAAACTCAAGCAATTGTGTTCTCATTTTCATTGTAATACCCTAGCAAAAAGTTACACAACAGTTTGCCATTATGTGTCACGATTTAATATATAAGATATATTATGTAAGAGGTCAAGGAACTGTGCTTCCAACTCGACTAACGCTACAGAAAGAAACTGTGCAGATATATCGATATCGTTATCGAAATCGATATCGATATCTGTATTTGGATCATATCTCGCAGATTAAATGGCTACAGTTGCCAGATTTGGTATAATCTCGACTCTCTCGAAAGAACACTGAACACTGAGCACAGGGTATCTGCGATTCGGGCACGCTTGACTTGTTCGCAACTCATGAAAGGGTATTCCGTTTGCGACACTATCAAAAGCGCTGCATTTCCTTGTTATTTCGATTCTGATTTTGTTTTTCCTCTTTGTTATTCTCTTGTATACGTATATATATATATATATATATATATTTTTTTTTTGTTTTCTTTTGTTTTTCTGCTCTCTGTGCATTTATTGTGTCATTATAATCATCGCGTTGCATTGTTGCAACTTTTGCGCATTGTTTTAACTTGCGGGCAGCGAGAACAACAACGTTGATTGGGCATGCAAGAAATCGCATTATATATACACACATGTACTTGAGCATAAATATGCAGATGCAGCCGCTTTAAGGCGAATCAAAACAAAATTTAACACCTTTTACAGGCGTCACAAATGTGTACAAGCATGTAAAGTAGAATGTTTAGAATGTTTTTGAGTGTCTGACATTAGATAATGCAGCTTTTCCACGTTTTTTCCAAATTCAATTAGATAATGCAACGTTCCCACTGCTGTCCAGTTAGATGCATAATTACCGCACTGGCAACGCTGCATTCACTTGCAGACTGACAATTCTCTCCTGCCTAAAGAGATGCTGTCGTGATGCCACCTAATTTGGCAGTTAATCAGGTGGCAGCACTGCAGTCAAAAGAAAAGTGTTACCACCCTGCTAGTGTGTGTTTAATTGGAATGCTGCCAATATATGCCATTGATTGTCGGCTAATTGGGCAGCACTCCAATTGACAACATATTAGTCTTATGATTAGAGCTTCAAAATCAATGTAGAGCTTGACAATAATTTACAGTGACTGTCAACGTAGACAGAGAGCATTGCCAGCAATCAGTTGCTCAATGATTGATTATCTTGAATTTTGTGTACGCATAAACCAGATTTGATTTGCGCTCAGCTGTTGTTCGGTTAACGACTGTGTTTGTACAATTTCTATATCATTATTATATTTACGTATATTTATATATAAATTTTATTGTCAGCAAAACAAACGCTGGGGGTCTAGCGGCCTGATAATCAAAGGCACTCTATAAATGAGTTTTAATTAAAAATAAAACTGTTTTTATACGTTGCCATTTGTTTTGATGCACGATTTGTTTCGGTTCGAATCGGATCGGATCATGTCAGAGGCCCACCTCCCCTCTATTTGAGCGCCCGTCTGCGCCCGCGCAGTTCAAGAGGCCGCTGATAGCAGCCCAGCGGCGACAACAATCGCAAAACAACGAAGCTTCTAGACTACTGAGATACTCTTTCTCTCTCTCTCGGTCTTTCTCTCTCTGCCATTGTCCAAGCCAAATATTTGTTTTTGTTTTGACTCGTCAGCGTTATGTCGCCCGATTGACGGGCAGTTCGGAAGGTGGCGCCTGATAACCGCTTCGATTCGGTTTTGCACACATCAGCCCCAACAACAGCTCCCATTTCTATCTGTCTCCGTTTGCAGTGATAGCTGCATTTCATGAATTTTTCAACTCTGGCAAACAACGTCAGCATTTTCATTATTTTATTAGTTATGATCTGTCAACAGCTTAAAGTGTGGCAACGCCGATATCGCTAAATTGGCAGCACCTCAAATTGAAGCTGGTTGACAGCCAAGTTACAGTCGTGGCTCGAATATTGACACCACTTTTGCAAAGCTAATTTGAATTAGGAATAATGTTTAATATTTCCCATATATAGTTCTGTATATCTTGAGAGAAATTTAAAATTTATTTATGTTTAATTTAAAAATATCTAAAAACAATGCATGCCTCAATTTATAGAATTGCCATCATACACTTTTTACCCAATGTTTCTACTCACCTGTTAAATATTAACTAAGCTTGAAGCTGGCCAACTCGAGGTCAAAGTCTGTTTAGCTACGTGAAGAAGTTTCAATTTATCTGTTTGCAATGCCTTGTCCTTAGTCCGATGCTATAACCCATTGAGAATTTTAAGCAATTTATACTTGTATTGATGTTTTCACGAGATTTACTTGACATTTTCTTAAGCATCTTTGCTGTTTTTATTGTCGTTTTATGCTGATATGATGTTTCCATATCTAATTGCTTTTCAAATCATTTCAGACGGCCCGCACAACATGCTACAGCAGCCGCTGCAGTTGAAATCGCAGCTCAGATAAGGAACTTCTCGACCCGAGATAAAGAGAGAGAGAGGGAGAGAGACGCACGCACACATACACCTTGAGCAGCAGTCACAGCGGTCGAGGTCAAGACAAACGCCGCAGGGCCGTGGGCTAGTCACACACACACACACACACACACACACACACACGCACACATTCCACAGGATAAGGTCACAAAATGGTGCACGGACCGCCAGCACGCAGAAAATCCCAACAGACGCAGCCGGGCAATGGGAATGGGCAATGCGAAATGGATATGGATCCATTGCCCACGCCCCCAGATGGCGGCTGGGGCTGGGTTGTGGTCTTTGGCTCGTTCATGATTCACATAGTCAGTAAGTGCTCATCCCAAAGTCAATTAACCAGCGTGGACACTTGACACGGGCCAACAAGTGGACGCACAGTGGGGCAAGGTCGCATACAAATTGCACGTCCAGTTATGACAATTAAAAATTGTTGATAATCTGATAGAAAGGCATGCGAAGTGAGCGAAAAGCGTGTCATAGAGGAAAATAACAAAACGTAGTACATGCTTGAAAATCGCATAGAAAGGCGATTGAAATTTAAAGCAAGTCAGCTGAAAAGAAGCCAGATATTATCTGAGCTAGAAATTCCAGCAAATATATTTTTCATATTTCATATCATTCCCAATGGATGTGTGATAAAGCGACAAGTGTGCATGCCTTTGACATAGTATTTAAGCATAATCGAATAATTGTAGACATTATCAGGCACTTGATCAGCATGTTCTCAGGCACTTGACAAACACAATGTTTGAGTTGGTAACTCAGAGAACTTGAACTAACTAATGTCTAATCTATAATCAAATCGATAGTGTCGCTATCAAGAGCTATAATAACGATAAAGCAAAGTCTAAGTTGATGTGATTAATCAATGTTAGCCAAGGCTGTTAGCCCGACAAATATTTACAACGATTCGATTCTGGGCTCTTAACCAATTGCGGGTTCGAACCTGGCATTTTTCTATTACTTTAAACTTTGCAACGAATCTGAACTCTTGAGTATTTGGTATGCAGCAATTTTTTTTTTTTTTTAAGTTAGCTTCAGGTTAAATACAGATAAAATTTCGCAGCGTGTTGATTGATATTCAACCACTGTGCGCACTGTGTACTGTGTACTGTGAACTTTTAAATCTATTATAAATTCCTGCTGCTTCTGCTTCAATTTCTACTTGAATTTGTCGCTGCCAATTTGCCTGGCCCAGTCGCATGGCAACCGTCCGGAGCTGCATTCATAAATCAATAAAAACCAAAAACTATATAAATATCTATGGATGAAAAGGCGAAAAAAAAACCTTGGTTAGCCTATGATATGGGTAGGGCCGGCGTGTAGCAGAAATAAACGCACTAATCGTGCAAATCCAATTTGTTAGCCAGACGCGCGATTAGCGCCCGGCCATAAAATTTAGTTAGCAGCTGATTTACGATAGGGCCCATGTTTATACCTACATTAATAAATATATGCACTAATATATATATATAGATATGTGTGCATTGGAACAGACGAGGGGCGTACATGTAATTGGCTATACATAATTATCAATTTTGGTTAATTGGCCAATCTTATCATGTCGGAGCCATAAGAAACTCCACATGTGGCCAACGTGGCCATGCCCCTTATCAGGTCGCCTAATTCTGGGTCATAAAAATGTCAACGGTAGCAACGGTGCTGATAAACAGAAAAGAGGGTGTAAGGCGAGGGGGAGGGAAGAAAAACGCACTGACGGAACTTTCATTAATTGCCAGCTAAACTGATTTATGAGCAGCTATTCGAAATTCTCAGTTTTAAAGCACTTTTAACCGCAAATTCATCCGCAAGTCAAATGAAGCATTGCCTACTTTTTGGGGGGCTTAGTTGTAGAGCGGGTCTTATGCCAATTAGACTCTGGCCAATTGGATTCGGTGTTAGTTCGAAGTAGACGCCTTTTCATTGTCAATGCAAATTTGACACGCAGTTTAACTAATTGTTAAATGTGTAAAGTCTTTTGCACGTCTGGCAGCACTGATGCACATTTGCGAACAAAAACAAAAGCTTGCGTTTGACAGTTGAAAAAATATGTGGCCACTTTTGCGAAAAAATTAGCAACATTTTAAAAATGAATATTAACATTAACAGCAGCAACCTGTATGGCGTTGCCACACGTGTAAAAAAGAAAGGAAAATACCTTTGACAAGCGATTTAATAAATTAAACCGGCTGTCAACTAAAACTAGCTCGTATTAGCAGTATGCCTAGATCTTTATAGCCCGAAAAGAGCACTTAAGCAAGCTTTAGGGTTGCCACACTGTCAAAATAAACACCCTATTATCTATTCCACACTTAGCCGACGGCATGACCTACTCGTTTGGCATATTCTACAATGAGTTTCTCACGTATTTCAATGAGGGCAAAGGCTATACCGCCTGGATAGCATCCATAATGGTGGGCGTTACCTTTTCATCCGGTAAGTGGGCAGTCTGCCGGTATTGTTCGATCCGAAACAGAGCTAATCCACAAGCTATTGACTGCATCCGAACCAGGTCCCATCAGCTCTTCGTTTGTGAATCGCTATGGCTGTCGACCGGTGACCATTGCGGGCGCCATTCTGGCGGCCGGCTGCATAATTGGCAGCATGTTTGCCCAGAATGTGGCCACGCTGATAGTGACCATTGGCTTCGGCACTGGCTTGGGCTTCGGTCTCATCTATTTGCCGGCCATTGTCAGCGTAACGCAATACTTCGAGGCGCGACGCTCCCTGGCCACGGGCATTGCCGTATGCGGCTCCGGCTTTGGCACCTTTGTCTTTGCCCCGCTGACGGAGCTGCTGATCAAGAGCTATGGCTGGCGCGGCGCAATGCTCATCATTGGCGGCGTGGTACTCAATTGCATTATATTCGGCGCCATGTTCCGGCCACTCGAGGCGCCGCGTCCCACAGTGACCAAGCGGACAAAGAAATCGACGATCATGGATCAAAATGTCACGCCCGCCGAACTGGAGCCGCTCAAGGCTCAAGTCGCCGGAGCGAAACCAACGGCAGCGCCAACGGATCAATATCTGCAGCTGCCGCCGCGACCAGATTCGGCCTCCGGCGGCGGCGGCGGCGGGCTCTGTCGCTCCAACAGCGTTGGCCATAATCTCAAGCCCAGTTTGGTAAGTTCCCATCCATGCCCCGTCCCGTACCGTAACGCCCACACACACTAATCATGTTTAATGTCCAAGCAGAACAACAACTCAAATGGGCTGCTCAACGGGCAGGCCAGCCAGATCAATGGCCCGACGGTGGTGAAGAGCACCAGCAACGATGACTTTGGCCGGACATTTGCCAGCCAGCCGCAGCTGATGCCGCTGCGCGAGACGCACCGTGAGCGCAGCGCCAGCGGCACCATGTACCGCCCGGATGCACTCTATCAGGTAGGTGGATGTTACGGCCACGATTCGATATTGACCGTATACTGAATTGCAGGGCTCACTGCACAATATACCGGAGTACGCCAGCTCACGGAATGATCTCTCGCATTCGCGCTCTGGTTCCGGCATCATCAGGCGCTACGGCTCCCTCAGACAGACGCATCCGCTGGCCCAGAGTCAGGTAAGCCAAGCACACACACACACACACACACACACGCCAGCTGGTATTTGACTTTATTCAATCACGGCAACCCGGACCACTTGGGCTGGGGTTGCCGCAGCCGCTGCGTCCTCTGGCGTGCCCGATACTCGTCCCAGAGCAGCGTCATGTAGATCACGACCAGCAGCGCCAGCAGGCAGCGTATCAGAAAGAACAGAAACCGCATCGGGGTCAAGGGAATGCGCCACCTTCTGTGTAGGCCCAGTGCCAGTCGCAATCTCTGCACCAGACGTTGGCGGCGCGTCTGCTTGCTGGGATCGGCTTCGCCGGGCTGTGTATTGGCCGCAGCTTCGCTCATGGGGCTCTGGTTGATTTATTTATTTTTATTGATTTTGGTTTTTTGACACTTGAATTTTATATGGAAAACTTTGTTGTGTACAGCCAAAGGCTACTTAAGGGCTAGCGACAAAAAAAAAATAAAAAAAAAAAAACCCGCTGCTTCGGTGCACCGAAGTTGAGATATTCCTGGAAACTGGACTCTGGCTCAGCTGAAAATCCTTGGTTGAGCCTTTGCCAAAGTTTTCATTATCCAATACGCGCAATCAATCTAAAATTCTCCAGAGATATTATCTGTGTTTCCAGCTACAAGGAAATACCGCTAGATTTCTTATTTAGTATATACCAAATATACCAAATTTATCAGGCATATATATATATAGAGCTCTATCATAAAAACGGTTTCAAGTTTCTTCACTTTTCGAATGGCTCCTAGACCTTCAAAACTATAGAACTTTAAAGTTTTCAGATACTTTTCAGCTACTTTTAGCTTTAGGATTTTCAATTTCAAGACTGATTTAAATAGACAGCTAAAAATTGATTTCAATGAACATTCTTCAAGCTTAAGAGTTGAAATAAAAAAACGATTGCCAGTTTTTGGTAAACATCTGGCAACGCCAGATCCATTCAACACATTAAATGCCAAGTTGTCCGTTTCCAGGAATAGCTAATGCTCTAATCTAAGAAAAAAAAAAAAAAAAAACAAAAATATTTAAGTCTAACTTGGTTGAGGGCGAGTCCGAACATCCTCGAGACGAACTAGGCCAGAAAGTGGCACCAGAGCCAGCTCAGCAGCTTATAGAGCAGAAACAAGCGTGCCACATTGTAGATGGCTTTCTTGCTGCAGTCAGAGATTTATACAGACATATAAACAATATATATATATATCAATAATTCATTACTTACATGCTAATTAGTAGCTTGGCCCGGGGCAACGTGCTGGGATCCTCGTTGAGCAGATCGTGCCGTATGCTCTGTATCATATTGCTGCAGGCGGAGGTCAGGCGATCCGTGCGGTGTGCGTATTCGTATTCATCGAACAGATCGAATTCGGTGCTGCAATACAAATTCAGATAAACATTAAAAAAGTTGTCCACATTAGCTTCTTTTCCACGCCTCGTTAGAAATGTAATATGCCTGACATCGATTTTTAGGCAAGAGTTTGCCGTTTCCACTCACTCCGCCATCTTTCACAATGTAGTGTGGATTTGGCGAAACAAGTGTAAAACAATGCGCAAAACGTTTTTTTTGTTATCAATTGATATAGATATGGACATGGCTTACTTTCTGTTCTGCTCCAGCATGCGCTTAAGATCTGTGGCGCCGGGACTGTCATAGTTGTTGAACATGAAGGGCTTCATCACCTCGAGCGTGTGGTAGAGCTTACGCATGATGGGCATTATGGCCGGGGGGCGACCGCAGAGGCGCAGCAGCAAATCCACAAATAGGGCGGGCAGCACCTGCTTGGTGAAGACGAGAAACTTGTAGACGAAACGATTGTCCGTATAGTGACAGCCCGGCACCCAAAGATTCTTGAGGAAGGCGCCACTGTACCACAGATTCATTGTGTCCATGTGCGTGGCCATTCTCCGGAACGTGAAGGGTATGTGGTTGCGCGACGAGGTTTGGTACACCAGCAGCTCCTTGGGCGTCCTGCAGTTGTACGGGCAAGGGTAAAATGGAAATATATAGATATATGTTTTTTGCGGGATTATGATAAGGGCACTCACCCCTGACGGTAGGCATCGTAGCCGCACTTGGTGTAATAGATCATGCCCTTTATGCCCATATCCTGCGGTGTTATATCCAGGTGTACATCGCGCCCTATATAGACGGTCTTCAGCAGGCCGGCGCCCACCAGCGAGAAGAGGCCCATGGCGCCCATCAGCGAGGGCGCGTAGCCGGGCAGTGGGTCGGTTACCGCAAAGAGCACTGTGCCCGAAACACAATCCGATTAAATCGGTTATCGATTAATGGGTGGTGGGGGAATAAAAGAAGAGAGAGATAAACAAACCTATCGAGGGCCGATAGACGATAACCGGCAGGCGCGTGCGATAGTCGTTGATCAGAGACTCGGCCAGGTTCTTCGTAAAGGTGTATGTGTTGGGAAAGCCCACAATTAGCCTAGAGAGGATTAAGTGTTGGACAGTGTAGCAAGCAAAACATATATATATCATCAGACAGTCGACTTCAAATCCTCCCCCATTGAGCTCATTGATCGCTTGACCCTGTTAAACTGGTCAGTTTACTCAGCTAAGCTGCAAGTCGCAACAATTCCTAAAGTCACAGTTTGAAGGTTACGACTTAAAGTCACAGTTTTGGAGTTCGTTTGAAGGTCGCAGTTTAAGAGTCACTGCTTTAAAGTTTGAGCTTCACTTCCACCAAATTACACTTTTAAATGATTAAACCTCGCTTCATTTAGTATACATATTAAGGTCGCAGTTGTGGAGTCACAGTTGTCGCTTAATAATTACAGTTTGAAAGTCACAAAACTCAGTTTATTAATTAGTGATGTTGATCTCCATACCATTAACTCCTTTCATAGCACAGTTTTAGAGTCACGGCTGGGGGAGTCAATGCTTAGTTTGACAGTTTGAGAGTCACAAAAAAAAAAACTGTCATTGTCATTCCATTTAATAAAGATCTACTTTTGAATTTCCAAAAGCCACAGTATAAGAGGCGCTCTTTTCACAGTTTCACAGTCTCAGCTCATCAGTTTGAGAGTCACTTTGTTCAATATGTCGTCTCTTTGAGAGTCACTTGATGGTTGAAACGTTTTGCCCACCCCCTCTTTGAGCTAGGAGTATGAGAACAGAGTATGGATAGGAACTCACTTGCGGGTGAGCGTGTCCAGGATGTTATCGTCCTTGATCTCGTGCAGCATACGCAGACACATGCGCCAGTCCATGGGCGAGGAATAGCACTGGAAGAGGAAAGAAACGAGTAGCGAGAGAACTTAGCCAAGCGGCGAATGGGACGCGAGGGGAATGCAATTAGGCACCTTGGGCTCCACGCGCTGCAAATAGGGATTGCTAAAGAACGTGGAGACATGCACAAAGATGCGCAGCTTTCGCAGATGCTCGGCGAATCTCAATGCCTCCAGAGTGCCGCCCACATTCAGCTGGAGGGCAACGCGCAGCGGCTCATCGAAGCGCACCGTGGCGGCGCAGTGGAACAGCAGCGAGACATTATCGAGCAGCTGCCGGTGCTGCTCATCAATGCCCAGACCGGGCTCCGAGACATCGCCTGGTATGGCGTATAGTTTGTTCAGCTCCTGCGGCTTCTGCAAGCGCAGCACCTGAAACACCTTCGCGTTGCGCAGCTTGGCCAGCCGCTGCTCGGCATTGAGCTGGCGTCGCGGACGCAGCAGCAAATAGATACGTTTCACATTGCAGGAGCGCAGTAGCTTCTCGATTAGCGCCTTGCCGACCACGCCCGAGCCGCCGGTGACAAAGATTTCGCTGTCCTCAAAGAACTCGGCCAGTGTTTGTGTCATTGCCAGGCGATTCCAGGCCCAGTTCCAGTTCCAGTTCCAGTTGCTGCCAGCTTTACGGGCGCACAGACACTAACCGCCAGCGACAAGTAGCGACGGCTTTTGGGCCACACGGCGGCGACCCGTCGGCCCGCCTCTTAATTATTCATTAAATCAGCCTGCATTAAACTTACATGAGCTACTTACATATGGCTCATTTCAATGTGCGTATATGCTAATCTGACATGCGTAGCGCTCCAGTCCCCCCCCCCCTCCCCCATCCACACCACCCCTCACACCTATGGGCCACCCAACCACCCAACCCAACCACTCAACCAACCAGCCATTCGACCTTGATCAGGCGTGCTTAGGCTGCAACGCGGAAGAGAACTTGCGTTGAACCCAAGACACCCGAAACTGTCAAGAAAAGTGAACCAGTTACGCATTAGACTAGTTCCACTTCTGACTGAACTAGTTCCACTTGTGATTGAACTAGTTCCAATTAATTGCCTAACCCTAAAAGTTTGTCGTTCGAACTCGAACCCAGTTCTGAAAAGCAAAGCTGCGAAGATTACTCTAGGAAAATGCCTGACCCGTAGATACCCTTTCCACTTGCTTCTTTGTATATGCTCCTTCGGTCTATACAGTCCGTTCCTTCAGAAAACGAATAGAGCTCGAAAAGTCATAGATCTGAATGGAAAGCTGCGAAAATTACTCAAAGAACAAAATGCACGACAAGTAGACGTCCTTCCTTCTTCGTATAACTTCGGTCTGTACAGTCCGATCTTTTTGAAATTTTCAGTGCTGCAAAATGACATAAAAAAGTGTGTTAATACGAAAGCCCACGACTCTAGAATACAATTTGGCTGGCATGGGCGAATTTCTCTGAAAAAGTGAAACATTTTCGATCAATTCATACCAAATGAGTAACTATAGCTGTTAGGCCTATGCTACCCTGGCTTAGACATTTTCAAAGGGTATAGAAAATGTTTGATTTACGATTTACGAACCGTTTGCCATCCACAGGAGGTGACCAAATGCTGCGGCTGCATCAGCTGCTCGAAGGAGACGCGCGACACATTCGCGGAAATGATGAACTTCTCGCTGCTGAAGGACGTGATCTTTGTGATCTTCTCCGTATCGAATTTCTGCACAAGCATCGGCTTCAATGTGCCCTATCTGTACGTTGTCTCCCAGGCGGAAACTCTGAACATTGGCAAATCGGAGGCCAGCTATCTGATTGCCTCGATCGGCGTGGCCAACACCATTGGACGCATCATTCTGGGCTACATAGCGGACAAGCCGTGGGTGAATCGCCTGCTCGTCTACAATGTTTGCCTAACCGCCTGCGGCATTGGTAAGTCGGCTCAGCCGTGATTTATTCCAGCTGTTGCTTACGCCTGACACCCAATTGTTGCAGCCACGGCGATGGTGCCACTGTGCGGCGACTTCAACTCGCTGCTCATCTATTGCTCCGTGTTCGGCTTCACCATTGGCGCCTACGTGGGCCTGACCTCGGTCATATTGGTCGATCTGCTGGGCCTGGAGAAGCTGACCAATGCCTTTGGTCTGCTGCTGCTCTTCCAGGGCATTGCCAGTTTCATTGGACCGCCCATTGGCGGTGAGTTGCATATGCCAGCATATCGTACAGATATCTCATATATAATCGTGCATATTTTATTGACAGGCTGGATGTACGACATAACCGGCTCCTATTCGCCGGCGTTCCTCATGGCTGGCCTGATGATCGCCATCAGTGGGCTGGTCATGTTTGCCATTCCGCCGCTGCAGCGCTATCAGGAGCACAAGGCCGAGCAGAAGTACAATTCTGAGCAGCTGGCGCTCAGTTAGCTTCATCCGGATGGGCCTGGCACGGGGGCAGGGCTGGGCAGCGCAGGGACGCGGGGGCAGGGCAATGTTCGACTTTGTTAAATCATTTTTATTGATTTTCAATTTTTTATACTCTGTTTTTTTTTTTCTTTTTTTATTATTATTTTTTAGTCTGTTTCCCAATTTTTTTTTTTTTTTTTTTTTGTCGTTAGCGTTTAGGGAAAATTTGTAAAGAAAAGAACGTTGGATGAAAATCAAAAAAGAAAAGTGTGTGCCGTACGCAGCGCTAGACAATATATGTACTAAGAGTAGGCTTAGGTCAGGGCTACACACACATGCATGCATACACATACACGTATTCATAGCTTTAGGCATACATTATTTATAAATCAACAATGGCCGAGGGGTTGGTAGGTGGCGGGCGGGGGGGTGTGGGCTGCAGCAGCAGAAAGCTAACAACAACAACAACAACAACAAAATCAATTGGACACGCAACAATTTCGGTTTACAGTTTTGTTTTTTATACTCTGTATACACAGCGGGAAAAGGGGCATATTTGATATTAGTATTTCGTGAACTTGGAACCAGTTCCAGAGCGGAACTGCCGGAACTCCGAATGATTTATTTCTCAAATAAAATTCGATTGAAAAGTAAATAACTCTTAAGTAAGCTTCGCTTTTCATGCTCTGTATATAGTGGAAAAAGGGCATATTTGTTTAGTGCCCTGTGAACTTGGAACCAGTTCCACACCGCAACTCCAATGAACCGCACCTTTGGCCAACACACACAACCCGAACCGAATGATTTATTTTTCAAAAATTATTCGGTTCAAAGGAAAATAACTTTTAAGCGAGCTTTAGCCTCAGAGTATAACAAACTTTGGCTCCAATTAATGCCTCTTGCATGTACAAAATTGTAAATTAGAAAATTTTCATTATTTTCATATACATAATTCGATAGGAAGACAACAAGGTTTGAACTTGAACCGAATCTTCAGGCAGGGAGCTGGTTCGTGAACCGAACCGGCAATACATTTGTTTTTTTTTTTTTCTGTTCAGCTGCGCAGCCCTGGTCTGAATATATTTCTCGGGCGACTACCGAGAACTCCGATCGATCACGCCCAGGCCCCAAGGATCGATAATTCCTATTGTTACAGTCACTCGACAGTCTTCGCATCAAATGGCGCAAGACGCATTTCGACTGATTCAATTGTTCAAACACATTGTGAACAGAGTATTGCGCAGTCGTTAACACTTGGTATACTTTTTATTTTCTTTCTCTTATGTTTAACATTAACGCGTACTTTCGAGTACTTTTGTAATTTGCGGTGATATACTCATGCGTATACACACACACACACACGCACATCCGACCCATGCACAAAACATATTTTTTCTATATTTTGTTTTTGTTTAGTTTTTAATAGATTGACAATTTTTTATATGTACAATTATGATATTTGTTATGCCATTAAATAATATAATTGATTTTTTTACACAAATCTGATTGGAGTTTTCATTCAAGATTTCCACATCATTTTCATTACAGCTAAAGCAAACGAGCAAACGAGGGTAGCCGCTAGTCGGGAACGCCCGACGAGAGTCTCTTACCTGACGAGCAACCCAATTTGCAAATGCATCGAATTTCAACGGCATTCAAATTACAATACTTTATGCATATGCATAACTATTACAAGAGCTCATGCCAAATACTTGCCATATATCAATATATACATGCACATATATATATATATGCATATCTAGACTGGATCATGATCAACAGCCGAGTTGTTATGTCTGACTGTCTCTCAGCTTTAAAGCTTTCGTTCCCTCTCGCTCTCTCTCTCTCTCTCTCTCTCTTTCGGGACAGTGGAAGCACGCAATGTTGTTGTTTTTTTTAAAGAACTGGACTTTTATTGTATTCCTAAAGTGTTTACAAAATAGAAGAAAAAAAAATACACTTTCTACGAGCTACAACAGTTCCATGGCCGACAGCTGCCCCAGCTCAAACACACACACACACGCACACACACATAAATACACACAGACAAAGCGGGGTCCAAGAACTGTCAGCTGGCACTGTTGCGTCCGTCTCACTGGATCTCCTCGTTGATGAGCTTCTTCAGCGTACATTCGCCGGCGCCGAGCTTATGCAATATGGCCAGAATTTCCTCGCGATAGCGATCCTTGATGGCGATCTCGTCCGGGTTATATTGCTCGGCGCCCAGACGCGTCATGCGCCAGATAACGTTCAGCTTGGCCTCGATGAGCACATAGTTGGAGGGCGGACAGAAGCGCGGGCACAGCTCATTGATGAAGTGTATCATGTCCCGGACGCTGCACGTGTTGATCCGATTGTTGATCGTGTTCAGGGCAAAGTCCTGATAGCGCGCCATCTTGGCGTGGGGAAAGACATTCTCGCAGCTGAGGCAACGCCAGTCCGGCTGCAGGGTCTTCGTCTGCACGGGTATCACCAGACCCTTGCAGCCCTGCTCCCGGCAGAACAGCGCCGACAGATACGTTCCGTTCTCCTGCAACAAGAAAACGATTCCAATCAGACATTGCACAAATTGACATTTGACTCTGACATCTGCCTGGTAAAGTTCATGTTCATATGCTCCTTGAAGAGTACACGAGTGGCAACGCCATGCTGACAAACTGGCAACGCCGGCTGGATAGAAGATGCATAAGCTGACAGCACTTAAAATTTCCTATTCAACTGCCAACATTTCAAAACCTTGACGTTGCCAGATAGTTATACAAAGCTAGGTGGCAGCACAGCTCCAATAAAGTGCGGTTAAACGAAACTGCTTTTGACAGCATGTTAAATTGACTGTTAACTTTGACGGGCACTTATGTAAATTCACATGCACTTTCGTGAATAACTTTGATATCCTCATTTCGATCCTTAAGAAATTTTCAGAGCTTAATTATAACATACTGGAATGTATATATACTAAAGCATAGCGTGATATCTGTTAAAATGAATGAAATATTTCGGATATAGACTCTCTTAATCTTATGAGCAGAAAATCGATAAAAATCGAATAGGTGAGTTCACATTCCAAATAACTCTAGTCTACAGCTGCGGGCGTTTTTGAGAAGGACCACGACCAAGAATTTATATACCAATTTACTTAATATTACCCCCCCTCTGTGAGCCATTGTGAATGGGTTCACGGTATGCAAACAGGCTATTAATATGGGCCTTAATGCATCGAGGCGAAAGTGTCCCTAACCCAATTATAAAAAAGTACAATTAAAGAGCATTAAGACGTCGTTGACGTCCACCTGTTCACTCTATATATATATATATATATATATATATCATGCATATTTTTTGGTTCTGTTATGTGTTTCAATTCGGCGGCGCCATTTGCGTAACCCGCCCGCGTTGTCTAGAGGCTGGGCTAATGCGATGAAGGGGGCTGGGGAGGCGCCTGTCAAACGTCTATGAGCAGCGGCTGTGGGTTGGCGGTGGGTGGGGGGAGGTGAGGTGCGGTGCGGTGCGGTGGCAATACATGTCCGTTCATGTCCGCAATAGCAGCTGCCTTGTCTGTCTGCCTGTCTGTCTGCCTGTGTGCCGCTCGAGCTGTCGAGTTGTGGGTCTGGGTCTGGGTCTGGTCGTGTTGCACTAATGAGCTCGCGCTCATGTTCCCGCCCGTTGGAGAAGTCCGCGGCGGATGTGAACTACATGCATATATGCAAGCGTATATACAATATGGGATCTGCGGCGTAAGCGGGGGCTGCGGTGTCCGTCAGTTCTGCATCATCTGAGCAGAGGCTCATGCAAAAATCGTATACAACTAATCTAATTAAGCGCATTTTTGTCATGTCGCTGCCAAATGCTATTATTCATCTAATCCAACGGCAATATATATGTACGTACGTATGTAGGTAAATTAGGTACGAACTTGGCCGCACCTATAATTCTCATAAGCATAAATATATATGGGGGTATATATATATATATGTATATACATATTTGCCTCAGACGCTCACACGCAGCTGCGGACTCTTTCGGTTCTATTCACAGATATTTCTTGAGAAGGCACAAACAATTCACATTTCAGAAATTCCAATAATTTTTTAACGTCTGGCTAGACACACACACACACACAAACCTCTGTTGGGATCTTTAAAAAATAGTTATCCAGCTTAAAGACTTATTTCTCTAAATCACAAAGTATTTACCATGCACATTCTTAAAATATTGTTTTAACATTTGTATGTTAATTGCAAATTTGACATTCAGTTTGACAAAATACTATAAATCGGGCCCAGTTCCTTAACTAGATGCAAAGCTTTCACCCAGAAGAAGCTGCAGATATAGAGTTGCCAACTAGTACGAAAGGCACTTTTCGTTCATATATAAATGAAATAATATAATATTATAAATCAGTTGTCAATCAGTTAGTCTGTCGCCGTTGCTTACAAAATACTTGGCCATCATTTCGGATAAGAATTCGGATAATGCATAACGAACATTTCTTGAAGAAACGGCTTGGATCTGTTTTATCCTTGCATCTATCGCAGTTGGTCATAGTATCGGATAACGATTCGAATAGCGGATAACAGATAACGGAACACAGAGGGATTCAACCCAAAAAGTTAACGCTGCAACTATTGCAATTACACACGGAGTGTGTAGAGAGAGTCATCGTACCGGATACGAGGTCGGATAGCGAATAACGGTCTCGATTCGTGAAACGAATATGAAAGTAAGTGTACTCCAGGAAGTAATCATTGAATCTACCACAGTGCGACATAAATTGTTTTGGATAAGTGTTTGGATAACAGATAGCGGAGCGCAGAACGAGTCTATTCTCAAAATTGTCAATCCATCTAAAACACTTCGAGAGAGAACTGGAGCATCGTTTCGAGTAAGACTTCGAATGACGGATAACGGATAACGGATCTCAAAACTGGTCTACTCACAGTAGTGGGTCATCTTTTCGGATAAGCGTTCGGATTACAGACAACGGATAACATCACGAGTTTATTCACAGAATTGTCAATCCGGGATAAGGATTCGAATGACGGATAACGGATAACGGATCCCAAGACAAGTCTTCTCGCATCTATCACACTTCTATATAAAGTACTGGGTCATCGTTGCGGATAAGGAATCGAATGAGGGATAATGGATAACGGATACCAAAACTGGTCTACTCACAATAGTGGGTCATCTTTTCGGAAAGGCATTCGGACCACAAATAACGGATAACAGCACGAGCTTATTCACAGAATTGTCAATCCAGGATAAGGATTCGAATGACGGATAACGTATGACGGATCCCAAAACGGATCTACTCACAGAGTTGTCGTTGCATCTATCGCAGTTGCACACAAAATACTTGGTCATCTTGAGGAAAATGCCGCGTGTGAGATTGCTCCAGAGGATCTTGGTGTATGTGGTGGTTATTTCGCCGCCCTTGGGTATGTCCCGTGCGGCACGCACCACCGCGAGCCGCCCGTTCTCAAAGTAGTGGCTGGCATTGGGTGTGCACTCGTGATTCATGATTGCCGTCAATGGGAAGAGACCGCGCAGCAGGGTCTCATGGCCATCGACGCGGCAGGGCGCCTCAAAGGCGTTCGTGTTGAGGACGCCGACGACGCGGAACAGCTGATCCATGAACGGCTTGTCTGTGGTGGGAAACTTGCGGAAACACTGCGCCGCCTTGATGATCTCCTGGCGATAGCCACGCTCCGCGTTCGCCTGCATGGCATCCACCAGAGCGCGCTGCTCCTTGCTCAGGTAAAAGACGCGCACCGCTGTCAAAATGCGCAGCGACAGCGGATTCACTGCATCCGTTTGCTCAGCGGCTGGCGTTGTGCCCGCAGCAGCAGCAGCAGCAGTAGCTGGGGCGATCTCCTCGACCAGATCCTTGGGCAACCAGCGCTGAAAGTGGGCGCACTCGTTGCGATGCGCCTCCGAATCGGCGCAATCAGCGCACACGGGCAGCGTACAGTGATGCGGACAAAGGAATCGCTTGGCGGCCAGCAGGCGATGGCAGCAGACGCACGTGTTCAGCTGGGAGCCCTTGCGCGCCGTTGGGCCAACGACGAGGGCGCGTTCGCGAAAGATTTGCTCGCCGGCGGCAATGTGACGGGTGGCAAAAACGCCGCGTCCGGCCACCGGCGATGGGGCCAGCATCCAGTTGGGCAGCTCCTCGCGCAGCTCACCCAAATGGACATCGATAAGGCGGGCCAGCTGCTCGGGCGTTGTGTTCCGACTGGGCGCCATATGGGCGATCATTGCCGCCGTGGTATTAATGCGCTCTGTCATGTTGCCGAGCACACACACACACGCACACACACACACAGTCTCTCTTGCTATGTCTCTTGCTGTCTCTTTCTGGCCAGGATCGGCCAAACAGGCAAACGAGTAGCGTGCAGCGTTCCGCAACGCGACGTTTCTTTGCGAGTGATTGTTGGCGACGCTGGCGGCTGGCGATTGGCAACTGGCGACAAGAACAGGCGAGCGCTGGGCAGCGACTGCGACTGCGACAGCGACTGCGAAAGCGACGACGGCAGCGCTGGCGGCAGCGACGCCCTCAGAGAGCATTAAACGCAACTAACAAAAACACAAATTAGAGGCAGCGGCGGCAACAACAACAAGAAATATGATTTATCCAAGGCGCGACACACACCTACACACACCTACACACGCGAACACATGCACATGCACGCACACACACGCGCACGCAAAGCCGCTTACGCTTTTGCTTTTGACTCTTATTCAATTTTCTGTTGCATTCAATTGGATTTGATACAACAACTACGCATGACAAGCACATGGCGTGTTGACGTTCACACACACACACACACACACACCCCCCTCCCCTCTCACAAACGCTCCCACTCAACGCCGCAACAGTCGCTTTGCCTGTCCCTCTTCGATTTGTCATTTCAATTTGTACACCACACTCATACCAGCACATCGACCACCACCCCCCCCCCCATCCCCTCCCCTCCCCTTCGACGCTGCGGTTATGAGCCGCCTATAAATACGTAAAGTCGTGTACTACAAAAAGAGAAGAAGAAGCAGCAGAAGTGGCAGAAGCAGGAGAAAAAACTGCGGTCCGCTCACAGCTCTGGGCAAGAGTCAGGCGACATCTTGTCATTTTTGCGGCTTCCACTCGAATTCGAAGTCGAAGACTTGTTGATACCCCGTTACAATTATGCCAGCTTCTGCTGCACATTGACGACGACTTTGGCACATGCGTTCGAAAATAACTGTTTACAGTGCGATTCTACTGCTGGGCATGAATGCGACAAAGTAAAGTGGAAAAAGAAATGAGATAAGGCTGAAGATATGAGTGGATATATGCTATGCTATGCTATGCAATGCGAGAGTTAGGCTACGAAATAAACGGGATCATGGAACAAAGCCTTTTGCTGCCTGCCAAACACATGCGCACATTATACCCCGCCCCCCTTTCTAGCATAGGGTATAAAACGCAGCCATATACATACATACATATATGTATGTATGTATGCATGTATGTATGTATGTACATTTTTGTCAGCTGCAATTGAGCGGCCTACATGTGTGGGCGTGGCATGGCGTTAGGGATTTCAGCTGGCGCCAAGCGTGTTGAGGCCACATAAATTAAGACATCGCCGAGCCGATTGCGTGCCGCGTCCCTGACACTGGGCCCAGTTCGAATGGCATCATCAGCGGCAGTTTCAGCTGGCACGTGACCTGGCGCCGCGAACCAGGTGCTTGTCGCACGTTGTCACCGATGAAAATAACAAACGAAATACATTGCGTATACGCCGCGTATTCCAAAAAAGACAAAAACACCCAAAATGCTGGCCCAAAATCATTTCAATTCGTATCCATTTATTTGTTTAACCCCAACACACACACACGTGCGTTACCTACCCATTCCACCCCCCTCCCCCCCTCCTCCTTGTCCGCACACACACACCTTTACAAATTGCAGCCCACTTAAACGCACATGGGCAAATTCTCAAGTCGATTGAAACACACTTTGAAAATACCCCCCACCCACTCACCTCTGCTAACACTTACACACACACGCACACACATCAAAAGAGAAAACAAAGAAAACAAAATAAACGAAGACAAAAGTAAGCCACAAAAAAAAAAAAGTTGTCATTCAGTTTTCATTTTGTCGAGATTTTTGCACAAAATGTATATTTAAAACACAACAAAAACCAAATAGATAAAAAAAAAGAAAACAAGAAAAACACGAAAAAGTAAAACAAAAAACGTGCGCACGACAGCAGTGCACGACTAGGCGCTACCCTGTACGCAGCACATTCGCTTTCACTTAGCTCTTCTAAGCTCAAGATCTAGCCAGAAATAAAAAAAAAAAATAGATGTACATATACAAAATTGAATTGGCCCAAAAGCAGCTTAACGAAACGAAGCATAAGTCCATTTGCAGTCCTAATCTGAACATCATAAACTCTTCAAACACTTTTTAAAGGGTATGAGGCAGTTCAACAAAACTGAAATGTTTTGCCGTTGGATTTGGACGCACGTCAGTTGCGCGTCTTCTGGCCCAACGGCTCGAGATTTATAGCAGCGCCCCCTGGCGTGCCGAATGTGCGTGCATAGGCAGGGTGTGTGCTTGTATAACTAGATATGCGTGTGTGTGTGTGTGGGTGTTCGTGTGTTTTTGTACTTGAACTAGTTTGGGCTTCCATTAGCTCTTAACCTGGCAGCTTGCCCAGGCCCAAAGGAATATGCATTATGACAGGCAGCTTCACCAAAAGGGGCACAGCGTGATGCGGTTCGTGCAGAGGCGGGAGCGTGCTGACGCCTTCATTCAAAATATTTAACAAGTGCAAGAAGACACACAGAGAGTGAGAGAGAGAGAGATAGAGAGAGAGAGAGAGAGAGAGAATTACATCACAATAATTTTGTTGGCCCATGCAACAAGTTGTCATGCGGAGCGTTTTCTTGAATGGGAGAGCGAATCTTAATGCGAACATCTTGTGCCCAATGCCAACTGTTGCATATATGTATACGTACGTCTAAATTTTGCAGAGTGCATTGAGAAATGTCCAATTAGGAATTTCACGATTTAAATGATCAGTGCATTTCATTTGAAAACCACGCTCAAGCCATATTCCACTTCCGTTAACTTTTGGTCGCCATTTTGAATTTTTTATTTCCCAAATTTAGAGTTGACATATGCAATAAATCGATTGAATTGAATTGCTATTCTTTTGGGCAAAGTGATATTTATATGATTTCTAATAGACAGTAAATTCGTCAAAGAAGATTATCTCTCATTTATCTATCTGTTAAATATTTGTCAAGTGGCAGTTAAAGAGTTGCCACAATATTGGCAAGTTAGAAAAACGGTTTCGAATGACAGTTGCGTTTAAATTTGACAATCTCTCGCCACTTATCGGTTAAGTGTTGCCACACTTTGTGCATAGCGTTGCCACTGTTGTGTACAGCATTGTGACATTTGGCTGTCAAGTTTAAATGCCGATTAACTAACATTCACTTTGACAGAAAAGTTTGAGGAAATAGAATCAAAAATTGTTAGCTAAGGTTAGCTTAGATTGAGTTAGATAAGGTAAGATTCAGTTTGGTTAAATGACCCGTTGTGTTTATTGTTGTTGCGAGTGGATGGGGTAAAGTTCAGTGCATTCAAAGCAAATTAAATCGGTGCGTTGCCAAATGGATGGATACACAGTTGAATGAACCTGGAAACCGAAGTGCCGGTTGTTTTAAATATAAACAAAAAGCCGATTCATTAATGGCCGGATGGGCTGTGCGGACCCGTAGAGAGATGCGTAATCGCTAGCATGTATCTATTGCCCCACATTGCACAAAGGCAAAGATACAGATACACAGATACACAGATACACAGATACACAGATACACAGATACACAGATACACAGATACACAGATACACAGATACACAGATACACAGATACACAGATACACAGATACACAGATACACAGATACACAGATACACAGATACACAGATACACAGATACACAGATACACAGATACAGATACAGATACAGATACAGATACAGATATAGATGCAGGTACAGATACAGATACAGATACAGATACAAATGGAATGCAATGGAGCTGGCGGGCAAATTGATCGATTGGCCGACTCACCGTGGGATCCTGACAGCGCGGGCATTGGCACATGAAGTGCTTGGTCATGCCGAGGAACATTTTGCGCGCCAGCGTCGACCAGAGCAGCTTGGCATATGACATGGTTATCTCGGCGCCGAGCGGTATGCGCTCCGTGGCGGTGACCACGATCGTCTCGCCGTCCTCGAAATGATGCGCCGCATTCGGTGTGCACTGATGGTTGAGCATGCCGGCGAGCGGGAAGAGGGCGCGCGCGACCACCTCCCGGCCATCCACCTGGCAGCGACTCTCGAAGGCGTTCGTATTGAATGCGCAGACGGTGCGATAGAAATACTCCAGCATGTCCTGTTCGCGCGGAAAGTGCTCAAAGCACTCGGCCGCCCGCTCCACCTCGCGCATATAGTAGCGATCCGCGTTCGCCTGCATCGCGTAGAGCAGCTTGCGCTGCGTCTCGTTCAGGAAGAAGCAGCGTACCACGCTGAGAATGCGCAGGGCGCGTGGATCGATGCGGCTGGGATCCTTCGGCTGCCATTTACGGAACAGCTGGCACTCGACGGCATGCCGTGGCGACGCCACACAGCCGCCGCAAACGGGCAGGCCACAGCCGGCGGTGCAGAGGGCCGCAGCATCGCTGTCCTCGCCGGCCGGCTGGCGATAGCATTGGGTGCAGGTGCGCAGGTTGCGTCCACGATGGGCGGTCGGTCCGACGAGCAGCGTGCGCTCACGGAAGAGCAGCTCGCCCTGGGCAATGTCGCGCACGGCGAATATGCCGCGACCCGATATGGGCGAGTCGGCCACACGCCAGGCGGGCTGCGCCGGACGCAGCTCACCCAGATGCGCATCGATGAGCGCGGCCAGCTCCTGCGTGGAGGCGCCTATGGCCATCTGGGGCACATCCCGCCCGAGCTGCTGTTCCAACTGTGACATGAGCCCGTTACGCTGCGGTTGCTCAATCGAATCGAATCAAATCAAATCGTAGCGAATCGAATCGAATCGCTTGCTCTCTCTCGCGCTGGCGCCGTCGATAATCGAATCGCAACTGACGCGTTCCCAATTCCGTGGCCATCGCTGCCGCTGCCGCTGCCAATGCCGCTGCCGCTGCCGCTGCCGTAGTCGGTGTCGGTGTCGGTGTCGCCGTTTGCTTCTCAGCATCTCTCCCAGCATTGTCCGCATCTCATTGCTGCTCTGCGCGCTCCGCTTGCTCGCCATGGAGCCCGCAACGGGCAGCTATAATTAGTTGCCATTCTCCGATTTCCCAATTTCCAGTTTTTCCGCACCGCTGGCGGCACCAACCAACCAACCAACCAACCACACTCTACATACCCCTCCGCCCTTCCCGCCAGCACACTGTGTATTTTGTGGCCGCCTGAAGGTAGGCAACACT